TAAGGCGTTGGAGGAACCGAGGGGTATAGTGGGTATGCCATCCATTATGGGGGAGAGTCCCACAAAACTACCGCGTCCCCCTGGGCGCGGAGTATGCGCAAGATGCATTCACCTCGGGCAAAAAAAGGGTAAACTTCCCAATAGTCGAATGCCGGGATTCGAACCCTGTTTCTAAGATGGTTAGCCCCTACCAGAAACTATTAGGCTATTTGTGCTTAAAGGTTTTAATGGTCAAATGAAATCGTGTTGATAATTCAAATCGTATAGAAGTTAGAGGTCGTCGATTCAAACGAAGGTAAGTCGAACAATAAAAACAAATATAAAATACAATAAAACATAAAAATTGTAACCTTTATTAACAACATTAACCTACATATAAAAAGCAGTATCTTGGAGAATACAAGGTTGATAGAGAAAGGAACTAGGAAGTGTATTCAGTTATTTCCTAGACTTTTTGATGCTTATAATATAGTTGTTACATAAATAACTCAATAATAATAAAACAGTACTTAAAAAAGCGAATAAGTATTTGGTAATCAAAACATCTTTTAAAAATAGATAAATAGATGAAAAATATATTTTCTTATGTTAACTCATCAATAACATACTAAAAATTGTTAATCATTAAGGGAAACACTTAGTGTAGACTTTAGGTACTATCAGTTGATCTATAAGGCATTTAAATAATAAATTTATTATTACCTGTAGAAGGTGGTCGGTATGGCCGTACATTGGGTACTGTGGTAGGCGAAGCCGGGGCACGGGAATAGTCCTCTTCATCCAGGAATACTTGCTCGTTCAACTCTAAAGCCAGCTCCGTGTCACTGCAACAATATAACAATGAGTTTCTTGTAACACATTTTTTTTTAAAATGGATGGATGGATGTTAGTCTCCAGACTGGCCTAACTGATGTCACTAAAAGGCACAGATGTAAAACTTAGTCTGAAAGAAGCCTCTTGTTGATGTAGAACATAGATTAGAAGAACTCTGTCACAGATGTAGAACATAGTATAGAACTTTCTCGCAGATGTAGAACATAGTCTGGAAGATCACATAGGTTACTAGTAGTAGTAGGGGCTACGGTTTCCGCAACTCCAAGACTAGCGCGTATTTTGCGTGAGAATAGGACATGGATTACTCCAGCCAACCCAGCTCACCGAAGAACCTCAGCAGACCCTTTATATTGCTGGTGATCTCCGGGAGCGATCTCGGCGAACCAAGATACCTAACCCTGTATTCAGTCACCGCTCGGCAGTGCTGTGCTACATAGGTTACTAAGGTAACTACAGTACATAGGTTACTAAGTTTTACTCTAATCGCGTTTAGAGTAAGTCACATGCAAAAGCTAGTCTTTATTACATTTAATTAAATTCACATATTAAGGCACAGTATAAGTATAAAACAAATTAATTAAAAAACAACAGAGAAATTTTACATTCTTATAAATATTGAAATATTTATAGAATTATTGATTGTGGATATCTTTTTGGTGTCAAGGTTTATTATCACTTTTCTTGTCTTATTGACCTTGCAATACAACAATCTGTAAAATGATATTCCAATGAGATCCATTCAATGATTCAGGAGATAGCTTCAAATATCTATCTATCTATACTGATATAATAAAGCGTAAACATACACTACTTTGTGGCGAAGAATGTCCAAATAAATTTTTAATAATACTTTCTTTGATAAAAAGCCCTACACTTACGACATGCTTTAGGCTTTTTTAAAGCTATTAAACTTATGGCGTAAATAATGAACCATAATGTGGGAAAGGGACTATAAACTACAAGCTGCCAACATCAAGGTAGCTATGTAATTTATTACATTACATAGACTCTGTTCAAGGATACATCCGTCGCCACTGACAACTCTCGTGCTAGTATAAGTAAAATTTTTGTATTAAAAAAAATAGGAACTCTCTAGCGTTATAAAGATTACGCAACAAAAAAGAATAAACAAAAAAAAGAAAAGAAAAACAGACTGTGCAAAAAAGAGTACAGACCAAGAGTCTGTAGAAGTTTATAAAAAACAACCACATCAAGGAAGCAAAGCCGTGATACACCTTTATATCATTTGAGCATTTGAATTTCGACATTTGCAATTGAGAATTCAACAAATGTATAAAAACGAAAATAATGCTTCTATAATTCCATGCGGATGAAGCCGCACGGAAACAGCTATAATCTAAATTTCTCCAATTATATTAGTAACATAGTAAAAACTGTGCTTTATAAAATTAAAGTAAGGACTTCAAGTAATATTTTAGACCACTGTGACACCTTATAATCACATGATTAGATTTAAATCAGTTTTTTTTATTACACAATGATTTAAGTTATTGGCACAATGGTAAATGTTATTGATGAGTAATCAATAACATGAAAGTGCTTTTATTATTACTTGATTATCTAATCTGTGTGGATTAGGAAAGTTAATTTTTTTTATATCATAAGATGACAAACGAGCAAGCGGCAACCTGAATCCGCCAAAATGGCGACGCAACCGCTGCCGCTTATCCGACGGAGGAGGAGATGTACATAAAGTGGATTTTTCCCCTTCCTATGCGTCTCCTCCACCGTCAAATCTACTTCCCTCTACTTCCCCTTCCCAACCTCTCCTTGTAAGAAAAGGGTGGTAAAGAGAAAGGGAATTAAATTAGGCCTCTTCCACTTCACGCCTGTCTTCTGTGTGGTTGTAGTATTACACCGGGTGTGCCGGCCCATTCATGCTAAGATGTTAAAGAGGGCACTACCACTGTTAAAATCTTAGTTAATCTATAACTACTAATAGTCTTTTAAAATTACCAAGAAGCTAGAACATGCAAATTGTAATAAGTCTCCGTTCTAATTAAGTTTATTTTTATTAAGTTGTAATGCCATTTCAACAGCAGGCCCACTTTAACATCTACACACTGAAAAGCTGGCTCTCTCATAGCTGACTCATCTTTCTCATTATGAATTTAATCCAATGAGTATTCATGCTAGAGACTTAATTTTAGTCCCATTCTCTTCCCAACCTTTTCTTATAAGTTATTTGACAGTGGAGAAGACTCATAGGAATGGCAATTTTATTTCAATAAGGGCTTTATTATTGTTTATATAAAAAATAATGATGTTTAAGATTTTTTTTTACTGCTAATTAAAAATGAATCCTGTATTTCTGGTTATGCTATAATAACATTGTATTTTATTATTAAAAACCTTGCTAGTTTTGTAAAGTGACTAATTTGAAAGGCAATTAATTTTTTTTCACGGCAATTAGAATAATTGTTAAGCATTTACATTCAAATGTGCAGATTATTGTATGATGTAACATTATTAAAATTGGAAAGTATGTTTTATAAACTTTCTTTGAGTGTTTTATCAGAAAACATTGGTGAATTTTGGCCTATTGTGTAATTATAATTATTTATTATTATAATTCTACATTATTTAATGAGAAAAGGTTGTGTACAGATAATATCTTTTTCAGTTTCTTTGTATGTTTGATAAACATTTATATTTTTACAAAATGGGTAAAAACCTTTGTTTATTTGAAAGGTTTTGATTGTTATCACTGCATGTATATTTTACATGATTTTATCATATGTTTGTTGTTTCATTATTTCTTATCTATACAAGGTCAAATTTACTACATTGTTATGTACTTGTGCAAAATTTGTTTAGACATTAAATTTATATGATTATGATATAGCAAGGTGATTATTTGTTACATTTGTCCATTATCATCACTACCACTTTGTTTGTGCAGTAAATAAAACATTTATGTAAAGTAACCAAAAATTTGGAAAACTCTTACGGATTTGGGAAGATCAATGAAGCTGCCTCCATGGTTGTTAATTTTTTGACTTCTTACATGCGATCTAGTTGTGAGGTTTAGCACGTGTTTGATTCACAGCGCGATCTTACGCAAAGTAAGCCGTCAATGTACTAAATAAATGTCTAAAAATAAATCACAAATCACAATGCATGGATAAGGTTATATTTCAGGCGGTGTTACGTTTTAACCTTAAATTCAAAGTTTTATGAAGCACTGATACACTACTTATATATACACCGGACGTACGCTATGAAGAACAAACTCATACTAAACATGAATGTCCTTTAAACGAAATTTTGTTGACAGTAACCAGCTGGGCAAACAAACATAACATTTAAGCACACACGAATTACCTATCGGAGCTCGCGGAGCTGGGAGTTTCAAACTTATTCAGTTTCCCAGCCATTACTGATGAATGCGGAAAAATGAATCACGAATTAACAATATGAAACTTAACAAAACGACAACGTGAAAACGTGAAATTTTGAAAGTTCACGGCTGAAAGCACACGCAGATATAAAATTTTGACGTTTACTCGTTCGGAAATCAGAAATGTTATCACGTGCATTTTTGGGTTTTGTTAAAATGTTTTAAAACCCAAACGGTTTTTCATACTTTTAATTGAATAATTATGCAAGTAATTTTAAAAGGAACTTTGGAAATCAGAATGATGCAAATGATTTAAAATGTCAAATGCAATTTCTGAACGTTGTAATTTTATGAAATTGAGTTGAATTTTATCAAGGTAAAAAAAAAATTTAGATTTCTAAATATTTACAAAATGCGTCTTTATATTTTTATTATAATGGCTACAACTTTCAGCAAGTTTATAGTATTATATTATTGCTGCACAATTTTCAAAGGAGTTCCTATAACAGTTTGAAGCCTTTTTATCCACCTGTTCAATTAAACTCCATTACGGTTCTCTGGCGGTCTAGTTCTCTACCTCTGATAACATTATCAGTCCGTCTTGTTGAATGCCTATTTCATTCATACGAATAGCCCCATTAGCTTGTATAGATCTTATAGTCGGGTGTTTGAATAAATTTTATGTTGGGAATTACGACTTTAGAAATGTTGGAAGCCTTCAATAACATTACGAGCATTTTATTATTACCACAAACATTTATTTTTACTTGTAACACCAACGACGTGCTCGCTTGTAATGACAGGGCGCGCAACATGAATGCTAAATAGGTTATTTTTCGCGCCGAAAGTTTTATGTGAATTTCCAATTTATTGCAGATTGAATATCGCTTTATTGGCTTTCAATTTTGATTACGCGTCATGTCACGTTTGTGAATTTCGTATGAAATTCTGAACCGGCTGTACGGCTTCTGGGAGTTAGAGAACATTTTACTTTTCCTATCAAATTGTACACGACTAAATTACTATCCTGGTATGAAGTAGGCCAGTACAGTTGGACAGTTGCGTTGGCCAGTCATAGATTAAATGGACTTACAGGTGCCAGTTGATTTACTTATAGTTATTGAGCGCTACTGACCAACTGTACTGGCCAAGTATGAACAGCGCGTAAGATATCGAGTTCCCAATAAAAAATCTTACAGAACATAGTATTGTATGTAATGAATATTTTATAAATCGATCCGACGGTCGCCCCAGAAACTTTGCTCATAACATGTAAATGGTCAAAGTTTCTATTAATTCTCCAGCTTTTGAACTTTAGGTCTAAAGTGCGGTAGAGTTATATTTAATAACCAAAGATTACTTGCTTCTTCAACAATATGAACTAAATAATAGTACAGTCGAAACTCTAATTACGTTTAGTGGAATAAATACAAAGTTTCTCTTCATATTTGTTTTTCTAAAATACTACTTTATTTAAAAAATATTACTAATGCAACTTTGAAAAAAAAAAAACAAAAACACCAACACGCGTTCTTTTCCAGCGCCATTTTGGATTAATGTTTTCAGTTCGGAAATGTGCATGGAATCAAGGAGCGCGGGATTGGCTCACGTGTTCCGAATACAGAATAAAAAGAACGATCCCGGAAAATACAATTTACATAAGAATTCCAACTTACAACCCACTGACTTGGATAATAGTGGATTCTGTGGCGTTTGATTTGCAGAAAATACTGCTACTTCCTTTAAAATACGAGGATGATAGAAAACTCTATTGTTTACATATATTGTATAGACTATTTAAATAATTTATTCAGTTATAATCTGTGTACATAGTTTTTTTTTTACTTCATTTTAATTTATATAAAGTTTTTCAATGTTCAGTCCCTCGATAAGAGAAATGCAGCGCGACATTGTCAAAGGAAATTAAATAATTTTCCATTTCGTGTCACGTCTCTTGTCTGAGTAGCTTCCTTAACACTTTGTAGATTGCCTCAGCTTGATTTTCTGTAAGAAAACATCATAATATTATCTGCTATAGCAAAACTATTTTAATTCTTGTTTCACAAATAACAAGTTTTAGAAAAACGCGTATTATAATTGACCTGGCATGCAACTGACATTATGGCAACGGGAACTGGCGGCAGTAAGTACATCCGACTGTAATGGCCCGGTGTAAACCAGGCATAATTGACATTTGACACTTTATGAAAAACAACGCAATATTGTAACAAGCGCCTCCCCCTCGAGGATTAAAAAATGAAAAATAGGGATAAAACCTTCAATAAGAATTAATGATAACTGGTCTCTTTACCTTATACATTTTTTTTTATCCTAACCTACAATATAGAAACTGTACAAACGTTGACTTAGGGGGTAAGTTGGTTCATAACATGCAAATGGGTAAAGTTTGAGAACGCCCGTGGCACGCCGGCCGCTTGGACATGCTTAATTAAGGACATTCTGCATTCTACATCTATACCACAAAATGTTTGTTATTAGAATTTATCAGCTTTGAGACTTTAGTAAATTCCACTCGTTTTTTTTGATTATTGTCGCTTGTCACAATACATGGATTAGTAAAACTAATTTAAGTTTATGTGCTATACAATAGTTTTATACCTGCCATTTGTAGAAACAGAGAGTTGAAAAGCGTGAAAATTAAAAAAAAAACTAACTTCAGATAATTTTATTTTTTAAAATAGTCGTCTGGATATTTAAATGCCTTCGTAGTTTTTGAACGAATGGTGTTTTCAATCAGCGCTGCGCGTTCATATGAACGCTGGTAATATTTCAAAGCGATTTCCAAAGACAGGCCGCAGACAGACGGATTTCCGCACGGAGAAAGCGACTTCAGCCGTGTATAGCCACGAAAACGGAGGTTTAGGTATAAAAAAATAGCGACACCCATGTCTTTAGTGACAGGGGCGGGCGCACACCTTTGACTATCACACTTTAGTGTGATTATCCATTGTTTCGTAGTCCATTTAACTGTTTAGTTGCACAACTAATAATCAAATAGTGTGCTCACCTCCATATAAGCTCATAGGAATGAAAGCGACTAAACAGTTGTGCGATAGTTTAGTTTCAGGTGTGCGTGCGCTTTAAAACAAGCACCCTCTAACTTTTACCAGCTTAAACCCAGCTCAACGTTTGATTCTTTTAACAAAACCGTGAAATATTATAAACCCACAAATATTAAAATAAAATGCAGCTGTTGACGTTCGTTTAATGGCCACAAACAAATCGGGAGATTTATTGTGATAGAAAGGGATACATCAATGAAATTCTTCTTCTCGTTGGAGCCGGGCTTATGGAGGTCTATTTTAAATGTTATTTCAATTCAAATATATCTTTAAGGAATCTATGATCCGTCAGGTAAACCACTAGATATATATGATGATTAAATATGTATGAAGATTAGTAAATATCACTGAAATCTTTTTTCTCTGTATATATTATGGTGCAAGTGTTGGGCACCTCTGTAGAGGCGCAACGCGGCCCACAGGGACAGGCTGAAAATCAGCTCCGCGTGGCATTGGCCATGTGGTACACGCTGAGCCTCCAGCCCATTGTTATCATATATATTTTTTTTTTTTTTAGTTTAATATATTCACTGTATGCTTTCATGTATTTATTTACGCTAGTAAAGCGTAAATAAATGTTGCCCTACAGCTATGTTGCCCTCGACTCCGTCCGCATGGTATTAGAAAACATACGAACTATATAAATTACAAAAAACTACGGGAACCGTTTCTCGGGGATGAACCTTATCCCATGTGTACTCCAGACTTTGTTTTATATCTGTGCCAAATTTCGGTAAGATATGTTGAACTGTTGTAGAATAATCGAGCAAACATTAAAAAAATAATTAATGAATCCCACGGGAACCCTAACTATTCCCGGGATAAAAAGTAGCCTATGTGTTCTTTCAGATTATGCTCTACATCTGTGCACAATGTCATGGAGATCCGTTCAGCCGTTTCAAACGCTGACAAACATCCATCCATCCATCGTAACTTTCGCATTCATAATATTTAATATTATATGATCAGTAAACACTAAAAATGGAATCTTTACTCATGCGCTCAAATATTAAAGAACGAGCTGTCGCCTGCAAACTACATCAAGATCCGTAACACAAAATTTGGACGTTCAAGAAAATATTGGGACATCGCATAGGGAAACGTAGCAATGGTAGGGAAATTACGGAAAGACGCACGAGCTGGACCGCAGCCAAATTTGACACAAGTCCTCCCTCGTAAGGCGCTAGCGCCGTAATGACTGGTAAGAATTTGTTTTGGCTTTGGTAATTTTCAGTGAATCAGAGAGTTATTAAAACGCTATAAAGTTTAACCTGGTTGGCAGAAATTTTAAAATAAATATGACACACTATCCTCAAAAAACCTAGCTAATTTTGAATATTTTTTTTTATTATTCATATTATTATTATTTTTTTAATTGCATATATCTTTATTTCTTATTTTCTATACAATACATTTTACATTACATTTGATATAAAAATAAAATAAAATATATCATATAAAAAATAGAGCACCACCAGCTGCGGAATCCGATGACTCAAGCAACCAGTGGTCAAGGCTGCAGAGACAGGAACCTCCTCACTATTCGTGCGGTTTCTAAAATAACCGCCTTTTGAATCGGGCCCTTAATCCAACTGTCTAGCGAGAGCTTCTTGAGGTGTTGGTCGAAGTTCTTTTATTTTAACACATGCTAAACACATTTTATCAATGTTGGGTTTGTCAAAACAAATTTTATTTAAATTAATGCGTAAAACGTGTGCGGCTCAAATCCTTACTTACTTATAGATATCAGTTGTTCTTAAAGGTCAGTTGAGGTCACGAGATAACAAATTTAAAAGCCGTTGTTTTATTTTAGATTATTTTCGGAAGTAGCTTGTTTGAAAATATTTGACTTATGTATGTACTCGTAGTAATGTGTTTTACGATTTTCGAATTTCATCTATGTCTATATTATTATAATAAAGCGTAAACACACACTTCTTTGTTGTCTAAGATGTCAGCAATGCAGCGTCAAGCTTTAGGCTACATATTTTCACGCCATTAAACTTAGGAAGTAAATATTTTGGATAAAAACCCTAATGTGGGAAAGAGACCATAAGTTGCTGCCAACATCAAGGAAGCAAAATGGCCATAGGAAGGTAATTGGTATTTTGACAAATGTAAACAATAAAATAAAAATTTCATAATTTTATGCCGATGAAGTCGCACGGGAACAACTAGTAGAAATATAAAATAAAAAATAAAGTATACAGGTTGATTCACAAGGGAAGAGAAGTTTGTAGTGTGAAGGATTTTTTAAGTGATGACTAACTATTGTCGGTGGCTCATTGGTTTGAGCACTTGCCTTGTAATCTACAGGTCCTGGGTTCAAATCCCGCCATGTACTGATAATTTTCCGATTTTTTTTCACGTTCACATTTTTTCGGTGAAGGAAAAACATTGTGATGCAACTTGCATATCGGTGAAGTAATTCAAAGATATGTTTGAAGTCAACCAACCCGCACTTGGCCAGCGTTGACTATGGCCTATGGCCTATGGCCTAGTCACCCTAATTTAGGATAAGCTGAGAGCCCCTCAGTTAGGTTGGGACATATAGAAAGCTAGTTGTAATTATTAATATAGTAAATCTAGATATGTGTGGTATGTTTTTGTAAAAATTGGCAAATTTTTGTAAAAATGTAATAAACAAAATATTTTATTTGATTGAAAAAGCTTTGTGAAGGTATATTTTTTGAAAAAGCTTGTAGGAAAAATGTAGATGTAAAAAAATTATAGACTCAAAGTTGGAAATCTTTTTTTTTTTCAAGAAATTTAAATTTTTTTGTATTTTGTTCTCCAGGTGAGTTATTCCAAAAAACGGATAGAGGCACGAAAGCCCAAGGACATATTGTTCTGGACGTACGGGCAAATAGTAGGAAGGCAGATTTTTACGGTTTTTTCAAAAATTAAAATCGGGCAACATACTTGAGGCTTAAATGATAGTTATTGAGGTCCTCTTACCTACACAAAGATTCTGATCCGTCCATAAGAATCACCTGTATACATTTTACCCTAAGTTCTTACATTAATTTACATTATTATTGCAAAAAATATTGATTTTCATAACCTTACTAATATTATAAACGCAAAAGTTTAGATGGATGTTTGTTAGAGTTTGTAGCTTAAAATGCTGAACGGATCTCGATGAAATTTGGCACAGATGTAGAAGATAGTCTGGAAGAACCCATACCCTACTTACTCTTGTTTTTTATTTCCTCGCGGACGGAATCGCGGGCGAAAGCTAGTAAACAAATGTATTCTCAATTGATTCAAGAAGTTTATAGCTTTTCATTGGGTTTATATTCACGTTTCAGTTAACAGATATATTACTGATGCCAAGTTTCAGTATTTTATGTGTAAAAACCCAATCTGTCAAGAGCATAATACCAAATTATTTACGACGTTATCCCGTAGGCATAAAGTATATGTTTTAATGGTTTTATATTTCTACCAAAATACCCACGGTAAAACCAACTTCATAGGTTTTACCCTGGGTTTTTCCGTTGATAATATGACCTTGAGCTTGAAATAATATTAATAAATAATTGAACTCTTACAAGATTTACGCACGATATATTTATATATTACTTATTAAAAAAGGAATCATTTGAAAAACAGAAATTAGTTTTTTCCGTTTACGTTAAAGTTCTAGTTTCCGTTTCCTTCCTAGTCCACCCTATAATTTTTTCACAATTTATTTCTTCAAGATATTCGATGTTATAAATGCCGTTACTGCATCATTTTTAATCTATATTTTTTATTATTTTGCGATATTGTTAAATTGTTTTAAACAATAAACATTCTTATTTGAATGATTGCTCTTTTTATTATTAAATTCGGTTCTGTTTACAAATCCAGACATCGCCAGATAGTATTATTTGAAATTTGAATATAGTTTGAGGAAAAAATATTTTTTGCGGCTGACCTTGAGCTGTGCGATTCGCAGTACTCTCCCCTCGCATCCCGCTGCTCCCCGTTACACCTAAAATTGTGTTCTACGCAGCGACTCGTGCGAGCATCGAATATTTTATTGCCTAAACATTTCTTAGGGCATATCCAATGTGTTTTAATTCTGAACTAGTTCGCACAAGTACTAAGTAATTGTAGTGTGTATTTACGTAGAATATAGTTCCCAAAAATCGTTAATTTCTATCGCAGTGTACAAGTGATTAGATAGTATTTTGCAAGATGTGAAATTACTAATTAACTTGACTGAAACAACGTGTTGGATATGTTTAGCAGTATAGTGACGTTCAGTATTGATAAAACGGCGCGGCGCGAACTCGCAGATATGTACTCCTGATGCGTGGCGTCAGCTTCAACCATACGCCGCCCTCACCCCCGCCTTCGTCTGGACCTCCCGTCCGCTCGGGACACCTGTATTATGGCATGCGATTTGTTACTACGCCCCAGATCTCGATTGCGTTACATAATGCAACTTTATTTCCTGTAGCATACAATTAAAGGAATAAATCTCTTGTCCAGTCTAAACATGTAATTGATCTGGTGATTTGATTCAAAAATTTTCTCGGTGTATACAATAAAAGCAGTAAGTTCTAATTTTTTTACATATTGTTATGTTGGGCAATAATTTGTCAACCATTTTGCGATGGCGGTATTTTTTTCATAGTATGCCATACTCCACTCGCCAAGCCCTTTCATTCATTACCCTGGTTGTAAGGTTTTGTGGCGGCGATCATTGATTTACAATACAAAAACTTTCAGTCATCAGCAACTCAATTTAGATGGGTATTCCCGTCCTGATGTTTTGTTTTGTTCGCACGTGTTCTGGATAAGTATCGCATATAAAAGAGATAGACGCAATTGGTTTCGTTTGCAGTACTATCTCTGCTTCCGTGGGTGACAGTGGTATACAATCCAAGTGTTTTAATAATTCTTTATTGTATCCTGAAATAAATTGATGTTTACAATAATCAAGTGATAATATGTTTTATTTGATACTTAAAGGTGAGTGATCTTGTTTTATCTGTTTTCATTTAGTTATTTATGAATCATTTATTATTTGAGGCTGATATTTAAACTGTTCGTTGTTTGTTATCATATTTTACAAGTTAAATTTGATCCACTTCCCGGTATACATTGAGCTGAAAATTTGCATACATGTATAAATAGGATATTATGACATAAAGCTGATCTGATGATGGAGCTGAAAGGTGGCTATGGAACTTCGTAATTAAACAACGCAAAGCCATAGAGATTGGATTCATTTGATTGCTCTTGACGAGTTATTTGATTGGTGTGAATAAGTAACCCCAACAAATTTATTTTTTATTGCTATAAAAACATATCTATAAATATTTCTTTTATATGTCATATGATTTAGTACCGAAAAATTATTAGAAAGTGTCTTTTTTAAATTCCCTCGCCAAGTTCTAGAACGCAAAGCTTTTGGCCAAAGCAAGTGACTTATCTATTACTAGCTGTTAGTGTAGCCCCTGCGACTTCATCCGCATCAACTTATGAAAATGTTATTTTATAGTTACATGTGTCAAATAATTAATTGCAAATGTCAAAATACCAATTATTTTACTATGGCAATTTTGCCGATTGATTTTGCTTGATGTTAACAGCAACTTATGGCCTCTTTCCCACATTAGGGTTTTTATCCAAAATATTAACCCCTTGTGTTTAATGGCGTGAAAATACATAGTCTAAAGCATGACGTAAGTGTAGGAGGTAGAATGTTTTTATTATAAACGGATTTATTCTAAAATATGCTGTAATTGCTGACATCTTAGGTAACCAAGAAGTGTGTGTTTACGCTTTATTATAATAGTATAGATAGATGGCGACGCTGTGTTGTCAATACTAGAGATGGGAAGTTATCCTGAAAAAACCGAAACATGGGAAAAATAGGGAAAAAGCCCCGGGAAAATTCCCGAATGGGAAAATATTAGTTTTTTTTCATATTTAGCGTATATAACATCTAGGTAATGTGAAGATACAAGTATATATCAAATAGTACGTACTGTTACTACTAGTTACAGCTAATCTTATTTTGTTTATTTTCATAATTCAATAAATACGATATATGTTCTCCATGCTATCTAAGGAAATTAAATAAAAAGTTTATTACTATAAAAACATGTCTATATAGATTTTTTTAATATAACGTGATTTAGTAGCGAAAGTTAATCATGAAAAAGTGTACTTTTTTAAATTCCCTCGCCAAGTTCTATAACGCAAAGCTTTTGGCCAAAGCAAGTGACTTATCTATTATGGTGACGCTGTTTTCAATAGAGTGCCACATGGCTCTTCTTCTTTTAATGATTAGTGGACTGCCACAAGGCTCTTGTGGCACCTTTTTGACAAACAGACAAATGAATCTTGTAGGACAATACACGGTTTAGACGTAAATCGTTATGTCATTTTCGAGAAACGTAACGAAACTAGTGACTTGTTCGGCGTCACGTGTTATAAAACTAGTGGTTTTTGTAACTAGCTATTTATATTTTGCTACTGTGCATAAATACAATCACCAACTATAGTTACGAAAAAAAAAAATTAACTGTTTTGTTGTACTTTTAATTCAAAATACCGCTTGTTTCCTGGAATCGCGAGAAATTATTTACCAACATGGGTCATTCGAATTTGTTATCTATGTGTATAAAACTACGTATGAAATTAAACGTAACGTTCTGCTAAGAATTAAATTAAATCTAATTTTTGTTTCTGTCGTATAATACGGTACGTGCCACGTGCATGTTCGGATTTATTAGTCATCCGCTGTAGCTTACTCCAAAATTTTCAATCTGCCATCTCTCTCTCTTCTCTCGCTCTGGCGGTCGAGGCGCGATGCGAAAAAATGAATAGAAATTCATTAATTACCACTTATTTGTACCAGAAATGATATTTAAATAAAATAAGGTCGTGTACATTTCGGAGTAAACATTTTCATAAACACATAATTGTGTATTCTCTCGTGGTTGCATTTTTTAACATTTATTATAACCCGTTTTTATGTGTGTATATGTGCTTTTCGAAAGTTATAGACGGATTTAATCCGTTTTTAACTTTTGCTAACTCTAAGAACCAATCGAATGTTTTGTTGTTTGGTGACGTCACAAATCTCCAGCCGCTTTGTCGCACCAAAATGATGATGAAAGGATAATTTTTTCCTCATTTTTTTTATTTGCTTTGTTTACAGATGACAGATGAATATGTACATAAGTACTATATCGTTAGATTTTTGGAAAAACCTTACGATACTGTTGATTTAGAAGTTTGTGTCCCGCATGGATGGATGAAGTTTGATAAAAGAGGCCAAAACCATTCTGTAGCATATCCGGCCGAGTATTCGCTGTTTACTAAACAACTTGTACAAGACAATAGTTTGGCTCGAAGAGATTGGCGTTATTATAAAGTTAAAGTGCAATTTAGAAGTGGTGAGTTTATTTATTTATTTAAAAAAAACCTACTTGTATAAATGAAAAATAAAAAACATACAGACGAATTGAGTACTTCCTTATTTTAGGAAGTCGGTCAATGAAAAAAATCATGTTCATTTAATTATATTACTAAGCAACATAAATGTAATTTTTAAAATGGTTAATCACACTAAATTAAGTTATTAGGTGTTTTTTTTTGGTTAACTTTTATTCCTTTCACTTGCTCGTATTATTGCGGGGACAAGTTGAAAAATTCGTGCAACAGATGGTAGTGTCTGGCATCTATCATGATTAGTGCTTAAAAATTAGGTTCCTTGAATTAAATCAATGTTTTAAATTTATGTAATCTATTGAAAGTAAACATTTTCAAAAACAGTGGTGCCATTTAAGGTCTAAACGTAACTTTGTGTAGGTGAAATCGTCATTTTCGACTAAGGAAGCTGTGGTTCCGTTCCGTTTTGCATAGGGACACGTCATTTCTGAACATCCTATATAACATATGCTCTTATTAAGGAACACATTACCATTAGATTTTCATAATTATGTGACTTTACAGATTCCTTTATGGAAGCAGAAAACTATATAAAATCAAGGAATAATAATGAACCTCAAATAACTAAATATTCAAATACAGAAGTTGGTAAGTACTCCATAACTTCGTAAACAAAAATCGTATTGATTTTAACTTACATATTTATATTTATATAAATGTTTTATTTCAGAAAATAAATCAGCTACCAAAAGAAAAACTCTAAGTTCGTCTTTGGGTCCTGCAGCAAAGGTATGTCGCACAAAGATCCCGCATGTGGGAAATAATAGAACGGATCAGAAGGGAAGAAGTAGTAAACAACCAGTGCCGCCTATTTCCATGAATGAACCATTAAAAAAACAAAGGAAACTTATTGAAATATACAAATCAACAACCGATGTTGAAATGTCTACTGTTACAAATAATACTGTGGAACAAACAGTTTTAGAAAAAAGAGCAACGAAAGAAAGTTTTTTAATTCAAGCCATTCAGTCCGGTCAGCCATTGACGAATCACAATGAAGGAAATTTGCCAACAGTTGTAAACGACATAAATTACAAGATAAATGCAATGAATGAAAAACTAGAATGCCTAAATACAAGTAAAGCTAAAGCAGAAAAAATGAAACCGAAAAGAAAGCATAATGAGCATCAAAATCCAGGATTGTATACCAAGTCTTCACATTCGCAATCTCAACAAGATCCAAGTTCAGCTAAATACAAGATTCCTGAAGAAAAAGTCACCGTGACAAGTTATTCAAAAGCGCCAAATCCATCGTCACTGGTACCCAGTATCTCTCACAACAATCCGTCTTCAAAGGTAAATAGACCCATTTTATGCCATAATCAAAATCAAGAAAATGTGTCAGTTGCAAAATCAATACATGCGTGTGATAACGTTCAGCAAAGTTTTCCAAAACTTACTGTAGTAAAAACTCCATCTGCATTATATCGCTTGAAAAACAAGATAGCTCAACATGCTCAGTTATCTAGTCATACTCATAGTAATCGATTCTTAACAATAAATAAAACAAATTCGTCCCGAAAGCCTAGAGCACAAGAAATACTTGATAGATCCAGTGATGTAAACTCTCGAGATCAAAGCGCGCATTCAGAAAGTGCAACTCATCAAGAGCTATACATACAAGAAACACTTAATAGATCTTCCGTAGATATACCTATCGAACAAAGTCATATCTCCCAAAGCACAACCAGAAATGGAAATATACCGGTAGACGTGAAAATACCAATCAACAGGACTCCGTCGTGTACTGAAGAGAAGCGTCAACTTTCAGAGAAAATATTAAATAAATCCGCAAAAATTTTGTTCTCACCTAATCATGAAAACCATACACTTGAAAAAGGGTCTCTAGAAAACTTGAATATAGAAATATCTATAAAAATTGGCGACATTAATGAAAACTCTAAACATCTAAATACTTCATCTGCTGTGAAAAATAAATTAAGATCATTCATACATTCTACCTATCCATTGAATGGTTCATGTGGAAAAGAACGTTCAGGAGTCACTCAAGATCCATCTATTATAAAACCGCACGATCAAGAAAGGCGTACTGGAAAACCTAGCCTAAATCATACTGAAAAGGGTATTCATTCTAAGAGTAATACAGAAAATGAATCTTGTCCTGTACTAAGCGATTTAGATACAAAAAAATCATTTAAAAAACAACTTTGGCTAGCGTACCAACATTTAATTCAAGAGCAATCTTTATCAACCACTGAAGATTTAGATCTTAAAGTATTCAAAGGAGAGACGGATGAAAAGACTAGTAAAGATCATAATGAGCGAACTTATGCTCAAAATGAAACCAAGCATCATCATCAATCCGATATTAAGTCCAATTTATTTAACAAAAATACACTTGATACTATTAACATGATAAAACGACTGAAGACAAATAATGTCGATGTATCGATATCGGGTATACCACAAAAACCTGAAGAAAACCCTACAAATAACGAAAATAAGAATATTAATGTTGAAACTAATTACATTGCTGATGGTAAAAATATTCATGATAACAGAAAAAATAACGATCGTGTTGAAAATGATAGCCAGAATGAACTTCAAACACAAAAGGGTTGTTCAAAGTTTTCATCATCTCCCCTGCCTTATCTTACTCCCGTAAGGTCGACGCACCAGATTTTCGTCATCCAAAGCAAAAGTTGTTCAAAGTGTTCGTTTGTTTTACCTCAGGAATATAACCCAAATGATTCCAGATGGACCTTGAGATATCCAGCAATTGTACCAGGAGTTGTTGAACTTATAGCTGGTAGTAATATATACGTAAATGAGAGAAGTTTGAATAGTTGTAAAAGAGTAGCAAATACTTATAGAACATTAGGACGATTGTTATTAGTAGAAATATTCTCCCAAAACGCGCTAAGTGTATGCACACTGATTGGTCGTAAGAAAAATACATTAAATACTTGCGAGTTGGATGTCCGCCCTGGTTTAGATGGAGAAGGAATAAGAATTTTGTTAAAATATTTAGAAATTCATGGATTCATAAATGGTTGGGAGCCGTTTGATCTTAAATCTGTTGAAACTAGTTTACGCAATAGACTTCTTGAAATTCGATGGAAAAAAACCGCTTAGCTATTATTGACCGACTTCCCAAAAGAAGGAGGTACTCAATTCTTCTGTATGTTTTTTTCATTTTTTTTTAACTACTATAGTTAAGTTTTATATTATTATTGTCTCTCTGGCTTTATCCCACTAACGCGGGGTCGGCACAATAGGTTTTATAAGCATTTATTTTCCGGCTTCTGCTGCTACTGAAATAGCAAAATACATGAAAACCACTTCTAAAAATGATTGAATCTTGAAAATAAAGCATCGAGGGCTAAGGGGCTTAAGTACTTGACTTATAATCTGCAGGTCCTACGTTCGAATCCTGCCATGTACCAATGTATATTTCAATTTCCGAATTTCATATGTATATAATTTACCCGATGTACTTACGGCGAAGGAAAACATCTTGATACAACCTCTAAATATCGGCGATGAAATTGAAAAGATTTGTGAGAAGTCAACCCGCACTTGGCCCCCTTGGTAAATGTTCTTGTCACCCCTTTTTTATCACAAACCCCGGTGGCGATGGCTGTGGACCTTTTCAATAATAGTTCAGGGTTTTATGCGCGCGTAAATGTCTTACAGGATGGGGACTTAGTCACCTCAAACTTAAGGAAGGGTCCGAGCCCCTCAATCGGGACGTATATTATGGTGATTGTGATGATGAGACTTCCAAAAATACAATAAACATTGTAGCTTAGTTGTAGTTTACTTTTTGACCGACTGCCCAAAAGTAGGTGGTACTCAATTCGTCTGTATGATTTTTTTTTGTAATAAAAACTAAAATAGTCGAAGTCTTTTTTGTTTCAAACTATGTGTTTATTTAACAACAGAGAGTACGATACGAATCATTGTTGTTTTTTCATACCTTTTTCTATAAGAATTTTGGTGCAATTGTTATTAAGACATTGACTGATTGTATTGTATCTGTATAACCAAAGCGTATATTAAAACCTAGGAAGGTAATAGATTATTTATTTGTTTTCATTAATTTTTTGAGATTTTTTAGTCAATAAATAGTGTTTCATTTTATTAATTATTATAAGAATTTTTATTGAAACATGTTTAAATAGGTTCGAAAAGAATGTATTTTTGATTATTTTTTTGTTGTTGATTTTTGTATTTACTTTGTTGTAAGTTATTTTGCAAATTTTTGTGTTTTGCATCATGTCCTCGCATATGTGCACGCGCATTTACACTTTATAAACTAGTTAAAGTGATTGGGCGTTTCTTTCCACGCATCTATAGAGAAAGTTTGAAAAAAATATTTCACCCTTAGAATTACAATATCACCAGTATCATAGTCTATATGTATTACTAGATATTTTATGTGTGTGATTCCAAAAATTAGTTTAGAAAATAAGCTTTAATTTTATTGTAATGTTGTTATCTAATTATATTCCATGTAATTATAATCCAAATTGTTATAATCTATTGTTATTATATTTATTACTTATTTATTTATAAAGCCTTTTTTTAATATAACGAGCGAGCAGTTACCTTTGAAACCCTGATATAAAAAGATTAGATATATAATAAAATTGGAGTGTCTGTAATATCAAAAGCAAAATCCAGATTTCTTGAAGATAATGAATTTGCGTTGCTGATATCAAAAATCGCATTTATCTTTGTCTGTCTGTCTATCCACAAGCCGTGTTTGTTCTGGACAATCTCCGAAACGGCTGGTCTGATTTCGACCGGACATTTACTGAAGGGTGACAAAGACTGGCTGGCATATTATAGGTTTCTTATTTTTAATTTCGCTCCCTCAAAATGATGCAAAGAGTGGTCCGAAATTGATGGGACTTTGAAAGATAACATGAAGTAAGTAGATGCACGCGGGAATGCGATAGATGACAAAAAAAATCGCACTAACGAAGTTTGCAGGCGACAGCTCGTTGCTAAATAAATAGAGAAACATAATCTGAGTACCACGGAAGATCAACACATGTGCTGAGAGACTTTTAAATAAATAAATAGGAGCTAAACACAAGCCTGTTCCACGGTTTCCACTATTTACAATTTAAATTTTACTTTGGAGTAGTTCCCTAATGGTAATAAAACGTAGAGTAGTTTCGAGAGCAAGCAATGAAAATAATAATAAAACTAGTCGCTTCTTCAAATTGCAACTTTTGTAAAATGTACAATATTTCATAGATTCTAAAAACATATTCTAAAATCTTCTAGAAAGTCTGGCGTCAAGATCATATTGCCTATTGTTTCATCTTAAAGTTCATCCTATCTTACCAAATAGTGAACGCTATTTTAAACTATACTGGCATAATGTGATGCCCGGTACACACTTGTCCAGTGCAGTTCCGACAAGCGAGATTCGTTGGTGTCAGTTAGCGTTTACACTCTGCCAGTTTGACGGCCCAATCAGAGCGCTATTTACCAACTGTACTGGCCAAGTGTAAACCGCGCGCGAATTTGGCATAAGTATAATAGTTATTCCGACGCCATCTTTCGCTGTGTTAACGCGTCTGTGTAGAGAAATATTTGTGTATAAACTCCAAAGTCTTTTCTACTCATATTTTACTCATTATAATAAATAAGTGAGTCATAGTTGAAGATATATTCAATGTAGTTTTAGATAGTTTATAGGTATAAAGGTAAATATTTATTATATTTTTATATTAAAACATAATTTGTATCGTCGCTACGCATACGCACGTACAAATAAGTATATTGACTCACTAGCATTGTGCTATTTATAGATTTGAAATTAGGTAAGCTATACTAATACTATAAAGAGGGAAAATTTTGTATGTTTGATTGTGATAATTAGACTCAAAAATTACTGGGCCAATTTAAGAAATACTTTCACTGTTAGAAAGGTAATTTATCTATGAGGTTATATTTTGTCATTTCTTTTTTATTATTTTCAAATTTCAAGCGGATGGAGTCGCGGTCAAAAGCTAGTCTTATAAATGCTAATTTCTTTAATTTCAGATTACTATTAATAATAATGATTATGTGATTAAATTCAAGGATGTTCCTTATGTTGTACCGTACGCTTGGATAAAACATGGAACATTGGGGACTATTCTAGTGGCATTCCCTAATGAAGATCTAAGAGAAACAACCGTGTGATAAGAAATAAATAATACGGACAAAACTGGAAACTTGATGAAGATTGTGAAACATCTTAGCAGTAAGGTAAACACAACATTTACACTACTTATAATTCAAGAACGGCTATACCGATATCGCTGAAAATTGGTTAGGAGCTTAGAGTCAGGAGAGTATTTATTCCGTTATGGGTGGATGTTTCTCTCTCTCGATGAAATTTAGCACAGATGTTGAGGATGGTAAGAACACATAGGCTATTTAAATACAGCATTTTAATTGGTTTTTTAGTTCGAGTCGCGGGCGAAAATTAGTTAAAAATGTTTTGTAAGTAGTCGATCTCGTCTTCTATACTATGTTTTACAACTGCCAAATTTAATCGTGATCCCTTAGGTAGACACTAAGTATCAAACATCTATTTAGACTTTCTCGTTTATAATAGTACTGGCTGTTGCTCGCGACTTCGTCTGCGTGAAATTAAAAAAAGTAGCCCATGTTACTCACAGATAAATAACCTTCCTATTGCTGAAAGAAGTTTTAAATTCGGCACAGTAGTTTTTGAGTTATTTCAATACATACAAAAATACAAATCTTTCCTCTTTATGACATTAGTATAGATTAATTGTTTTTTTGTAGTGTTTAACCGACTATCTTTTTTTTTAAAGGTAATATTTTTAATGCATATTATTGCATTTGGACTCTGAGTAACGTTAAAAAATCCGACATTTAGAGATGGAGAAGAAAATTAAGAGTAAGTTATATATATTTTTTTCTAACAACACTTTGATGTTAAGTGACTAATTTTATCTTGTAATTATTCCACTGTACAATAAGATTATTAAACAATAAGAATAAATGATTTGAAAAACTGTAAAAAAGTAAATTTACATGTTGATATTATCTGTATCAAATAGAATTTATTAATAACAGGTTTTTTTTAATAACTTTTTACAGCCTCCAAACACTCGATAAATAATCGAGCTAGGACTTCTACAGCAGATACTAAAAGAAAAATAATACCAATAAAAAGTAACGGAAACAAACTTATAAGACAACGCGTAAAAGGGCCAGAAATAGTAATACAAAATGTCAATCAACAAAATCGTGACATCAATCCAGGACCTGTACTTCAAGATTCATCGAGAAACACATCTTCATCATCTCTACAAAATTCTAGGAATTTAGCAAATCATTCTCGTTTGCACAATAATAAAAGCTTGTCGCTACAAAGTATAAACAACCAACAATCGATTGTACAAAATAGTCCAGCCATAAAGAACCAACATGATGATGTAACTGAACAGTCACATGAAAGAGGATATCTGGAAAATTTAGATCCCCAACAACATTCGCCGATTCACTACCCATTATCTCCAAATGTTATTATATCCTCGATGTCTAGCGTAAGTCCCAGCGATAGTCCAAGAAGTACTCATCAAGAAGTAACCAAAAATATCCCACGCGTTCTACAGCAGGCATCACTAAATGAAGAAAATTTTCCAATTACCAAATTGTCAACAGATTCTGAAGAAACTAAGGAAAATATTTTGATTAATGAATTGAATGATATTTTAAACAATATAAATACAACTATAGCTCCTTTATATGACTCAATGAGTACTATACGCAATGCGTTTTATGAGTATGCACAAAGAATCCAAAGAGCAGTAAATGACGTTGATAATTATTGCGAGTTAAAACTTAAAGAGGTAACAGAAGTCAACAAGCAACAGACAGAACTGTCCATTTCTGAAGACAGCGCTTCAACAGATAATTCTGACGATAAACATGTTAAAATTAAGAAACAATCAAGTTCGTTTACTTTACCTCTAAACTATAAACAAAATCAAGATATATTTACAAAAGAATCATCTAAAGAAAAATTGAATAAAAACAAAGTAAATTCCAAATGCAACTCACAGCATGAATTAGATGAACATTTTCCAATTACCACCAAAACATCAAATGATTCAAATGGAATTATTGAAAATACATTTATAAGCGAATTTAACAATATATTAAACATCATAGATGTAACTTTAGCTCGTAAACATGAATCGATGACTACTATTCACCAAGCGTTTTATGACTATACTAAAACATTTGAAAAAGTAATTACTGATCTTAATAGTTATTGCGATTTGAAAGATAAAAACGTAACAAGAAGCAATAACGAACAGACAGAGTCAGCAATTTCATCTTTACCTGAAGGTACCTCAGCTGCAAGAGACAAAGATCAACAGACCCGCAAAAATAATCCTGATGTTGAAGATGTTACACTTACTAAGAAACCACGTCTGTTTGTTTTACCTCCAGACTACGACCCAAATGATACAAGATGGACGTTACGACATCGTAAACCTGGTCCAAAAATTGTTGAACTAATCCCAAAGAATAATATATATGTCAATAAAAATAGATTAGGTTATAGTTGTGCTGTGGCAAAAAATTGTAATGAATTAACAATAATGTTATTACAGATTATCTTTTCTGCAAGTGCATTGAGTGTGTGTTCATTAACTGGTGAAATAGCCATTGGCAAACATGATGGCTCAAATATAAGACCTGGCTTGGATGAGCATGCGTTAGCAATATTACTAATTTTCATTAAAAAACATGGAGTCAGCAAAGGTTGGCAAGTTCCTGATACACTAACTTTTGTAAATATAATTCAAAGTAAACTCAAAGCAATAAGAAGAAAACCTTCCCTATTTTGGTAACTGTACAGAATGAAATAATTGTCCACTGTATTATGTTTTTTTTAATCCACTTTAATAAACTGTAAATCTACATAGAATTAAGTCTTAATCCAATGTATGTAACAAACAATTCTTGTTCTTGTTATAAAAATACTATTAAAGTTTATTCAATCTTTTTGATTATTCATTAAAATAATGATGTTCTCTTTATTAAGTATCGCGTCATTCACAAACAACTAAATACTGATAACATACTTGAAAAAAATTGTATAACTCGAGATAACCTTTATCTACACACACCCACTATTTATTACTCTTCCTCGAATTATTACTCTAGAAGCTTCGAAAAATAAACGTCATATCCAGTTACAACCAGTTTGGACTATAAATGTTTTAGCTTAGATGTAGAGGATAGTCTGGGTCTGGGAGAACAAATAGGCTACTTGCTTTTGTTTTTTTAATTCCATCCGGACGGAGAAGAGAGTGTAAGCTAGTAAATAAATCAAATAAGTTTTATTTTTCATACTAGCTTTCGTCCGCGACTCCGTCCGTGTGGACTTAAAAAAAAACAAAACTAAGGTAGCATATGTGTTCTCCAGACTATCCTCTACATCAGTGCAAAATTTTATCGAGATCCGTTCAGAAGTTTAGGCTACAAACTCTAACAAACGTCCATCTAAACTTTCGCATTTATGATATTAGTAAGATTGATGTATTTGGTTCTCTCTATTTTTATCATAGAGATTCAAAAATTTATAGAGGAAGCATACTTGACACTTCACTTGAAATATCTTTCGGGTTATTCCTAACCGTCGCCTCACTCTGTCCCCACGTGGGAACCGATGAGAATAAAAAGTTTCATCCGTCCTACCTTTTAGTCCCACTATCACCAAGATGGCAGATGGCAGATGGAACCGTTATGAAATTAAATAAGTTCCAACCGTCCCTCGTAGCAAAAGGTGGGACGGATAGAACTTTTTATTCTCATCAGTTCCCACGTGGGGACTGAACTGGGTGACGTTTGCGAATAATCCTATGTTTTACACGATCCATTAACGCAGTCTATTAATATACCCAAAACTAAATGTCATTGTAATTAATTGTAATTAAATGAACGACCAATAGGTGTCACCAAATCATATTTAAATGTTTTTATTTTATTCTGTGACACTGTTTAGTTTATACGATGGAGCTTATCGTAATTTTGTAAAATGTTTTACAACAAATCAATACAAGGACGTGAAGTGACACTAAACTTGACAATGGGGATGTTTCCTAATTTTTGGAATTGCTTTTATTATGTAGATAAACCGTATCTAAACATGAAAAAAATATAATTATTAAATGAAAAAAATATATTATAACCGAAGCCGCGAAAGACCGCGAAAACGCCAAATAATCTTTAAAAAAAATATAACTACAAAATGCACTGACATTCACTAAAGGTGGTCACACTGTCATGTTGTTTGCGAATAAGTGACGTCACCGAGCTCTGATTGGTGTTTGAGATCGAGTAATTGAGGGTAAAAAATATTGCAGCGTTTTTAATTTATATTTAATTTGAGACAAACATTAAAGGTCTCTAAATGTTATTATAGGTTTGAAAATGCTTTCTTTAAAATATTAAACATAACTTTATTTGGATTTGTAACATTAGGAAACATCCCCATTAAAATAGTATCTTTCAAAGAAGTTACCGGTGAATAAATGTTGTTCTCTCCAGTCTATATATTTCTTAAATTTCCATCAATCCTATACAACATAAGTAAGTTATACAAATTACATAAAGTTACAGTTTTCGTCGCCTGCGACCAAAAAGCAGTCAATCGTATAATTAAATTAGAAACATCCAGAAGCCCTCTCGTAAGAGGCGATTTAATTATTAGGGATTAACTGGGGAATGTAATTATTATTTTGGGACAAACAGAGGGCGCGTGTGCAGGGGTTGCAGGACTCTCAACTCAGCTAATGCCAAATTACGATGCGACTACTATTTGTTCTCGAATGAAAAGATAAAAATGTGCATTTGATAAATTTCTGTAGTAGCAGCCCTTAATATCTTCGCATGAAGGTGCCAGCAGCAATACCACGACCAAGCACACAGGCGTGAAGTGAAAGTAATCCCACGTTTTGTCTGATGAGCCTATGATGATACCGTTTTCGTAAAAGAAAGGAATTGGAAAAGAAACTGGATTTGGAGGGGACTAGGACATACGTACTTAAACACAAACTTTATTAGTCTTCGATGTAAATTAATTAATTTATACAAACTGCTATAGTAATAATTGGAGTTTCGTTCGAGATGAAATCGAAAAGACACGTGGTAGTGAAATGTTATGGCTTATTGTGAGGGCATGTATACTGTGTACGAACGTGCGCCAAATCGCAAATCTGCTGTGCTCAAAACTGCTGCATCACTGCTTCTTAACATTAACTGATAAGCTATTTAACTAAAGATTAGCTCTGAATTATAGTTTATTTATTACTAGCGAACGACTCCGTCCGCGTGGTATTAAAAAAAAGTAAGTAGCCTATGTATTCTTCCAGATTATCCTACATCTGTGCCAAATTTCATCAAGATCCGTTCAGCCGTTTAGGCTACAAACTCTAACAAACATCCATCCATGTATCTAAACTTTCGCATTTATAATATTAGTTAGACGAAATTAAATAATAATCTAAGCCTGCGGGAATTATAATTTTGTATTAAAAGAATTTGAAGTAGATTTTATGATCTTAATATACCAAGAAGAAGTTTCATAAATAAAGAAATATAGTTAGAGGACAAATATAGTTAATAAGAATTTTAGTGTTATAAGAAAATGTAATAAAAACCAAGACAAACACATGTTTTATTGTCTTTCTCGGTTATTTTCTTTAGTTTATCTTACACAATATACGAAAGATTTGTTTGTTAGTTAATGAAATGTCCACATGTTGTTTATTGTCAACATATGACAGTATATGAAAGTACAACGATATACAAACTGAATTATTCTCAGACAAAATACAAGCTTTTGTTCAGTATTAATAAAATTCGGAACTTCGCGTTACGTTGCATTATTTTTGTTTTCTTGTCTATACTTGTCGCACTATCTTACTAATATTATAAATGCGAAAGTTTAGATGGATGGATGGATGTTTGTTAGCGTTTCTAGCCTAAACGGCTGCACGGATCTCTATGAAATTTGGTACAGGTTTAGGGCATAGTCTGGAAGAACACAAAGGCTACTTTTTATCCCGGGAATAGTCATGGTTCCCGTGGGATTCATTGATTTAGTTTTTTAATGTTTACTCAATCATTCTGCAACGGTTCAACATATCTTATTGAAATTTGGCACAGATATAAAACAAAGTCTGGAGTACACATGGGATAAGCTTCATCCCCGAGAAATGTCTAGTTCCCGAGGGATACATAATACCACGCGGACGTAGTCGCGGGCAACAGCTCGTATACTAATATTATAAGAGGAGAGATTATTTTTACATGTATTGGAATAACTCAAAAACTACTGGGTCGATTTAAAAAATCCTATCACCAATAAAAAGCTACGTTATCACATTTTTTTTTAATTTCCACGCTTACGAAGTGGCCATTATTATCTAGTTATTTATAACTTGTATTTTAATAAAATTTGTTATACTAACCATATTCCCTTAAATAAGCAAGGTGTGGTTCCTGATCAATTGTGCCGTAAGCACTGGACTGGCATAGAACGTCCACACTTTGCCAGTTGGGCTATGGCTGAACTGTCAAAAAAGTAGGACGCATCTCTAGTCATCGGACTGACTAATGTTAGTGTTCACACTGTGCTAGTTAACTGCCAGTTTTTAAGCGCTACTAGTCAACTATACTGGGTAAGTCGAAAGAGAACAGTCGCGTATTGAGAGCGCAAACCTTTGACAAAACAACAACAACAACTGCTATGAGTTTTTATGGAGGTGCCCACACTACTCGATTATTAGTTGTGCAACTAAACAGTTGAATGGGCAAAACAATCGACAATCGCACAACAGTTTTGCCAAACTTTAGTCAAAGATGTGAGCCGTCTAAGAATCTAAAATTCAATTAACCGCTGGTCTATCGAATCTTCGATATAAATAACCTTTTCAGACAACGGTGCAAGTAAATGGATGACCTATGTGGTAGCGGCAGGGTACCAGCCGCGGCGTCAGCTCTATTACCCAATTAATTACTGCAATTACTATTGCAACTCGACATTTTCACACTCAGTTTACCTTGTATGTTACTACCCTTTGGGTATATGTAAATCTTAAGAGTAAAAAGTATTGAAAACTACTGAAGTACGCAATCTAAATATTGACATTAAAAAAACTGAGAGAATCTTGTAGAAGACAATGAATTTTGGGAGTAATTACTGTTATAAAATTATGTTCGCTAATAAAGCTTGGATTATACCTTCGCAATTCCGTATTGGACCAATACATTTAGTTAGTTACAACAGATAAAGACCTAAATAAAAAAATGGATGATCCCAACGTCAAGTTCCTTCTGCGATTCTTTCTTTCAATCGACTTAAAAGTGAGTTCGTTTCCAATAGTAGTGGTCTGCGGGTGTAGTGTAGCCACGTCCTGCCGAGCCAGCATACGTGCAGCCTGCCTGCCTAGGGCGCGTACAACGCTGGACAGAAAGAGGCGCCATAAGTCTGCGAGAAGCGAGAACACAGTTTTACATAACCTGTACACACTCTTAAAATTCTAAAAGTAACTAATAAATATGTTATGGTCTGGTCAAATCTCAGGTCAATATTCTTCACGTTTACCTAAAAGTGTGGTTTAACTATTTTTTTCTTCCTAACAAAATCATTTGTCATAAACATTCCAAAGCACACCCAAAAGTGCCCTGTTAACTTATTAATTTGATTCATAAAGTAAATGAATTGTTGATTGCTTGTTTGCGTGTCCGATGTCATAAATCTAACCACCCTCTTTAGTTAAACAGTACTAACGTATGTCATATCGTCCAAAATTACAAATAAAAATGATTTTTGTCAGTTAAGCATGTAGTTAAATAAAAATTAGTAATAACCTTACTTTGGACTAATATTTTAAATATAATAGTTTAGATGGAACTGTTTGTTGGATTGTAGCCTATACTGTGCAACAGA